TCATGAACAAGTGAAGCCAACCCATATAAGTTAGAAAAATGTTTCCTTGTTTGCATATTAGGAATATTCGGCTAATTATTATTTATGTTAGGGTTAATTTTTTTCTCTTTTTTGTTTAAATATGTGTTAGTATCTCTATTCCTAGCCTTGGTGCCTCTCCTCACTGCTGTTACAGAGACCTTTAATGAGCTGACTCTGTTACTTTCCTGTCTTGAACCAGCTACTCCCTGGGGAAAGTCTTTGCAGAATAATCTGAGGTTGCCTGTTTTGAAGATGAATACTTTTTTTTTCTTTTGAGAATGGTATCTAATTTCCATTTATTCAGGGAAAAGGGAAATGTCTATCCGCCCAAGCCAGTCTTTAAAATAAGGTGATGAGGGCACTAGAGATAGGGCACAGTGAATAGGCACACTTGCTACTTTTCCAGAGGACTGAATTTCAGATCTCAGCAGCCATGTTTGGTCATTCAAAACCTCCTGCAACTCCAGTTCCAGGAGCTCTGACATCCTCTTCTGGAACCTGAGTAAAAGCATATGCTTCCATGCTCACGAGTGTGTGAGTACACGCGTGCTTGCATATACACACACACAGACACACACACATACCAGTAAAAAATTTAAAAATCTAAAAAGCTTTAAAATGATTTGTGTATTTAAAAGTAAAATAAAATAACTTTATGAAATTAAATTCACCTTCTGCTAATTCAAACCCAGAGTCGTCCACTTTCCTCTATGTGACGTTGACTCATGTCTTAACTTATGTCCAGGGAGCCAAATAAAAGCTTCCTGTATAGTAAGGGCATAAAATAAAACAAAGCGCTATGGTATTCTAGGTAGCAAAATAAAGTCTTGAACAAGAGCCGGAATGGAAGCCTAACGAGATGGTGGCAGAAATCTCCTCATTCAGCACCCCCTCACTTCTCTCCCAGGCTCATGTGAATAAACAGATATTTCGAGCTGAAAGGAACACAGGAGTTTAGGAACTGGGTGTGAAAATGCTTTGCGAACACATCTTGGTTTACCAAAGGGACTACACACGTATTTCAGCGCTATGCTCTGTAAGGGCGATGAGGCCCCTCTGCCGCACATGTGGATACTGGTAGTTGGCAGGCAAATTTATGTGGAGTTAAGGTTGTTGCCTCTGAGCGTTCCCTTTTGAGCTCTTACTACTTAGATCAAAATTGACTAGCAATAGTTTATTTTGTACTGTAAGTTACACATGGGCTCTTGTGCCCGTTCCTCCTAAATGTTGTGTTTGTAGATGTGGAACTTGAGGTTTAGAGAGCATCTGAATCAGCTCAGGCTGCTGGACACCAGCCAGCGTAGCAAGTCTGGTAATCTAAGACCCTGGGTGACTCTACATGACAGGCATTTTTGTTTGCAGGGCTCGGGGGGGCTTCAGAGTCTAAGATCAAGGTATTGACTTGATACTGTGGATCTCTTCCTTCCTTTAGATGGCTGTCTTCTTGCTGTGCCCTCAATGGAAGAGACCTCTCTGATGTGCGTTCTCTCAAGGACACGGTCTCTTAGATCAGGGTTTCTTCCCACTGACCTCATTACCTCTTTATCCAGTGGCCATCTACATTGGAGTTTAGGGTTTCAACACGTGCACACGTGGGATACTCTTTAGTCTGTATTTTGAAACCATCAGACCAGGGTTTGAAACTAGGGATCTGGCACTGGAGCAGTAGGGTCAATATTCTTGCTATTTTTGTGGATGGTTAGCAGGTTGGCCACAGTTTCTTGAAGAAATTCCTGCCTTTCTGTCTGTGTTCTGGACTCAGTGTATCTGTTTACCTGCCTATACCAAATCTTCCCATGTCCCTCAGGGCTCACTTCATTCATACTAAAGCTGGATCTCTACAGAAAATCAAAATGCTCCAGGTAAGAGGATTTCTTGCCTTCCAACAATGGAAAGTTAGTTTTTGAAACACATGGCAGGCAGTCTCTTAAAGAGACTGTTCTCACATTCAAGTCATCCTTAAGAACACAATAGCCCCTTTGGAATGGCTTCCTTCCTTCCTTCCTTCCTTCCTTCCTTCCTTCCTTCCTTCCTTCCTT